TGATGGGGCCTGATAGATGGACTTTTGCCCATGTAATGGCTTGTTACATTCTTTCACCAAAGGGTAGGCTTAGAATGAAAACCAGTTCATTTTCATGCCCATAACTCAGAAAAAATTAATGAAGAAGAGAAGGTTAGCTAATGGGTAACTTGATTTGATTATCCTTTTCCATCACCATAGTGGAATAGCATTAGACACAGTTACATATTGTATGTGCGCTGAGTTTTGTTGTTTCATCCTCTTTTGAGGGAGGTGGGCATCAGAAATAATGAGTCAACCTTCTGAAGAGTAAACCATTAGGCATTATAAATGCTTTACTAGATAGGTATCATAAAGATTGTATGTAAGGTGCCTAGCATCATGCCTGAAACATAGTAAGAGATCAAAAAATTGCAGCATTAGTATTAGTATAGTGTTAAGATTAACATTATTTTTAGTATTATGCTGCTACAGTTGCTATTGATTACAAGCAGTCTCACATCTAGAAGTAATGTTGGATTAGAAATCAGGAGACTGCCCGGGCACGGTGGCTCATGCCTGTAATCCCAGCACTGTGGGAGGCCAAGGCAGGCGGATCACCTGAGGTCAGTTCAACACCAGCCTGACCAACATGATGAAACCCCATCTCTACTAAAAATACAAAAATTAGCTAGCCATGTGTGGTGGTGCACGCCTGTAGTCCTAGCTGCTCGGGAGGCTGAGGCAAGAGAATCACTTGAACCCAGGAGGTGGAGGTTGCAGTGAGCCAAGATGGTACCATTGCACTCCAGCCTGGGCGACAGAATGGGACTGCATCAGAGAGAAAAAGAGAGAGAGAGAGACAGAGGTTCTGATCTGGATTTTGCTATTAATGTGAACTTGAACAAGTCCCCTCTTTTTTCTAAGCCACGGTGATCCATGTGTAAAGTAGGGAATAAATGACCTCTGAAGTGTTATCCGTATATTGATCTGCTACCAGTAAAACATATCTCTGTAAGTAGCTTTGCAGGCAGAAGGGAAAAATTTTGTTCTTTGCCTCGTTTAGTCACCTGATCATTAACAACATGCATTTATATGACAACCAGCCTTGAGGCATACTTGGTCATTTGGTTGTCTGTGGTAGCCCAGACTGAAATGTCAGCTGTTGGAGGGGAAGGGAGCAGCAGCACGCAGTAGTTACTAGTAACTCGTGTGGCTCCTTCCTCCCCTGACTTTTTAAGTTCTTTGATAGTCTTAGGAATTAAGATTTTTTTTACCTGGCCTAAGAAAACATACAACTCTAGTACACTGAAAATCATATGTGATTTAGCAAAGAAATACAAATGAGGGAATCAGCAGGGGAAATAGGAACCAGTCTCAGTGGGGTTCCTACTTTGTGCTAAGTATTCTCATGAATCCACGACACCATGGACTGTTCACAATAACTTTGCCTTAATCGTCACTGTAACTATGTCGAGCTAGGTATTACTACACCTATTGTAAGGGATGAGGAAATGGTGCTCTCACAGTCAATAGCAGACAGCAGAACTGAGATTCATTCACCTTTTTCTTTTCCTTAATACCACTGTTTCCCTTGACCTTAATACGGTGCTACAGAAGAATTTGGAAGTAGAAAGTTTTCCTGCCAGCATGAGATTATCACCTGTGAAAGGAAACTTAAGAGTTTCTTTTTTCCTAGCCTAGCACAATACAATTTTGAAGTAGCTGCATGCTTTGTGCTTCTCTCTAGAGCAATGGGGAAAGAGACTGGTCAGGGAGTAATTGTCTCTGTCTTCCTGCCGGTTGGTGTATTTCTGGCTTGTTCCCGCCCACCCCACCCCCATTCCTGATCTGAGACGTTGTTTTCACCATCTGGAAACTGTCACAACTTGAGTGATGAGTCAATGACATAGCACACTCTTTGATTTTCTGATTCAAGATAGAGTTGTTGTTTTAATATTTACCCCCTAGGCAGGGTATGTGAAGGATGTTTACAGTTATAGGAGGTTTCATTTTATTGGAAGATACTTCATTTACTTGAAGGTCTTTGGGGATTCTGAACTTCTCATAAATGGAGAAGCTATTTTTACCTGGTAGTCAGAGAAAATCAGCAAGTTTGTGTTTGGATCGATGTACCATTATATAAACTCAAATTTTTCTTCCATTTTACCCATTTCATATACATATATATGTTTATATAATATACACATATATTTTAACCTATTTAATAATCGGACACAATATATATAAAACATATTTCATATATATCCATTTTTTAAAATCCTTATAATTATCATCTGAGTATTTTACTATTTGGAGAATGTTATAGCTTCATAAATTGTGATCCATGTTGAAAATTTCTACAAAGGGGTGCCATAGATATCTTTTGCAGTTAGGAAGCAGAAACCTTCTTAATCCCTATGTAGCCATTCATTTAGTTATCTTCCAGTTCAATCCATAATTTTATCTACGCCAGAATATTCCAAATTTTAATGCAGCAGCTAGCATAGCTACTATAGGGGTAGAAAAACTCCCCTCCACCCTCCTAGGGTCTTGGTTGAGTCTGAGAATTAAGTTGACATTAGGTTAACAGGAAAAAAAATAATACAAATTTACTCAACAAATATTATGGGACATGGGAGACATGAAGAAACGAAGACCTAAAGAAGTAGTGAGAGTCAGTTACTTAAATACTGGATTGAGCAAAGAATAGTAAACTATAAAAATGTGACTAAATTATGTGGGGATGCTAAGGTTTGTACAGAATTTTCTTGGTCTGAACTTCTCATCCTTGAAGATAGAGATGTTGTTGACTTTCTTTCTAGTACAGGGAATGTCTTTCATATGGAAATTTTACCTTCTTATTTTAAGAAACAGCAGAAAAGTCAAAGTGATCTTGCACCTGCTGTTTTTCAAGTGCCTTTAACTCCAATCGTCAATATGTCAGAAGAGTATATTTTAACACCTTTACTAATACAACAAAAAACTTAATCCAATCCCAATGTAGTAGAATAAGATTTAATGTAAGTAGTTTTAATGTAGTTGCATTAAACTAAACTAGAAGTAAAATAGATGAACACACACACAATTTAAGTTTTATCCAGGACAGCACATGCCTACTATGTGCCACAAATTGTGGCCTCTGCCCCTGAGGAGCTTGCAAGGAAATGGAGGAGATAGACAGGTATCTAAATAAATTAGTTTTCTTTAATTATGGTACGTGCTAAGATAGGAAGATGCCAGGGTGCTCTGAGGATACTGGTAGGAGGGTTCACTCTGACCTGAAGACATAAGTAAGGCTTCCTGAAATCTGACCACTTCTTTCCATTGCCACTACTACACCTGATGACCACATCATCATCATTTTACCTGTGCCTCTGCAGTCATTTCCCAACTGGTCGCCTGCATCCACCCTAGTCCCCAGAGTAGTGTGTGCGTGTGTGTGTGTGTTAATGTCACTTGTATCTTGTTACACCCTCAATTAAAACTCAATTAAATATGTAAAATTCCTAATTAAACACCAGTGGTTTCCCATATATTTGAGAGTAAAATCTAGGCTCCCTTTTTTGGCAAACAAGTCCATAGTAAATCTGGTTCCTGACATCTTCTCTAATTTCATCGCATACCATTCTCCCTGCAGTCACTTTCTCCAACCACCCTGACCTTATTTCTGTGCCTCTCCCTTGGCAAGCTCGTTCCTCTGCCTCCAGGCTGTGCATTCACCATTCCTCTGTGAGGAAAAGTGTTCCCACATCTTCGGTTGGCCAGCACCAATTTTAGCCCAAGCTTCGCCTCCTACAAATGCCTTTGCTGACAAGTCTCTATCCTCCCCAGGGTCTCTCCTCTTTTATGTCCTTCTTTTATTATTACTGGGTTGTTGCTTATATTTTTGTTTTTTGCCTCTCTACTCCAGGATGTTGTTTCCATGAAAGCTAAAATCCCTTCTGTCTTGTTCTCTACCATATCCCAAGGCCTTGGCACTTAGCAGCTGCTTAATACATATTTATTGAATGAATAACTGAATGAAAGGTGTCTGAACTGAGTTTAGATGGATGAATAAGACTCACCCAGTCTAAAAATAGTGGCAAAGTAAAGAGAATAGCATGAAGAAAAGACACAGAGGCATGAACAGGCATGAGACGGGCAGGGTTATAAGCAGCTCAGTGTCACTAGATGGTAGTGTCAGAAGAGAGCGGTGGTGGATGTGGCTGGTGATAAACACAGAAATTAGCTCACAGAGGCCATTGTATTCCATGACCTTGGACTTTTGGTTTAAAGACGGGGAGACCGGCAGATTTTGGCTTAAATCTGTGCTTCTCAAATGTTTTAACAATGACTCACAAGAAATAGATTTTATGTATCTGTGAACTGAGATCCATCCCCAGCTTTTAGACGCTGTCACATTCGTTGGCTCCTGGCTCCTTCCTCCACTTCAAAGCCAGCAGCAGCAGAGCGAGTCCTTGGTACATCATATCTCTCTGACCCACTCTCCTGCCTTTCTTGTACACTTTTAAGGACTCCTGTGATTATATTGGACTCACTTGGTTAATCCAGAATAATCTTCCCATCTCAAAGTCCTTAACTTTAATCACGTCTCCAAAGTGTCTTTGCCATGTAGGGTAACCTGTTCACAGATTCTGGGAATTAGGGCATGGACATCTTTGGTGGGCCATTTTCCTGCCTACCACAGGGATGTTTATAGGGAGTTTTCTAAAGATCATATTCCTTTCCCTCCTTCGCTTCTTTCTTTCAATAGACATTTATTGAGTACTTACTGTTTCCCAGTGTTAAGTGCTGGTATTCAACAGTGAGCAAGGTAGTCAATGTTCCTGCTCATATGGGGCTTATATTCTAGTATAGAAGACAGATGACAAACAAGTAATTAAGTAAAGAAATGAGGTAGTTACAGATTGTGCCATGAAGACAATAATAAGGTGATGAGTAAAAAATCAACTGGGGAAGACCACATTGGTCAGGGAGGGCGTGGGAGGGATAGAGACAGTGGTCAGGGAGGGGCTTTCTGGGGAAGTAACACATAAGCTGAAATCTAAAGGGTGTAAATACGTCAGCCACACGAAGAAGCTAGGGAAGAGGATTCTAGCAGAGGATTTGGAAAACGTGAAGTTCTCTAGGCAGCAAAGGGCATTGTTCAAGGAACAGTCTGAAGGCCAGTGTGAATGGAAAAGAGTGAACCAGGCAAAAATGTAAGTGATGATGGCAAGATGGGAAGAAGTGAGGCCATGCAGTGGCTGAGAGACTGTGTGTGGTGTGGGCTGTGGATATTTTTCTAACAGCAGTAGGGACCTGTTGAAGGGTTTCAAATAGTGGTGGTGTGCAGCGGGTAACGTGATCTGATTTATGGTTTTCAAAGGTAGTTGACTATATGAAATGGCTTAGAAAGGGCAAGGATGGACTGGAAAGACACGTTGAGGGCTAGCATAGACTAGGGGAGAGATGACAGTGGTTTGGACTAGGGTGAAGGGACAGTTGGAATGGAGAGAAGTGCATTGATCTGTAAAATATTTTGGAGGTAAAGTTGACAGGACTAGAGATGGTTTAGCTGTAGGAAATGAGAAAAAGATTGGAATCAAAGATAGCTTCTAGGTGTTTTTAGCCACTTAGGGATGAGGATATCATTCACTAAGATAGAAAAGGCTGAAGGAAGAACCAATTTGGAGAAAGGGTGACAAGAGTTTAGACTGAACACCTTAATACTGAGAATCTGTTAGACATCTAAGAGGTGATGCAAAGGAGACAGATGGATGAGACTGGAGCTCAGGGGGATGTGTGAGTTGGAGATCTACTCTGAAATCTTTAGCTAGCAGATAACATCTAGAGCCAGGGGACCAGGTGAGATCGCCTACAAAGAAAGTAGAAATAGAAAAAAAAAAATACCTTGAGTGTGCTAAGGTCCTCCAAGAGTTAAAAATCAAGAGGAAAACAAAGGGTAGCCAGCAAAGACTTATGCTAATATGCTAATATTATTTGGAGTTTCCCTGAATGATGACTAGGCTAGAGGTAGAGGAAACAAAGAACCCCATAGGGACAGAAGTGCTGTGTCTCTAGCACTTAGTGTACCTAGCACATGAAAGGCAGCCATCCATATTGAATGAGTAAATGAAATTTTCTGAAACTCTTCAATATTTTCTGGCATATGTCTAGGTATGGGGTTAAGAGGTAAACTTTTGCTTTGCATTGGCTACTTTTTAGTGGACTGACACCACAGAACTTCCCAGCCTACTTTATGATTTTTTGGCCTATCTTTAATAGAATTTAAAGAATTTGTTACTGACCAGTAGAGCCATTCCTTAGGTTTGAATTTGAAACAGATCAGAATTGCCAGCTTATGTTTTCTGACCTATTCAAGATAAAATCACTCTGTAAATAAGTAATTAAAAAACAAATAAGTGAACGAGCTTCTCTAGAAAACCCAAACAACCCTTGGAATTCCTTTTTTACTGCCAAAGAGATCAATCTTTTACTAAGTTCCAGATGGGTTATGAGCCATTTTTCAATCTACTGATTCCAGAATCACATGACTGGATCAGAAACTCTCATTAGTCAAACTACTCTGTGTGGTTTGATGATGAAGCCTTATTTAGAAGGAAAAGAAGAATAAAAGTGTTCTGTGGGACTAAGTCTCAGATAGGTTAAGCAACTTGCACATGGTCTCAAGTATTTAAACTCAATGCTAAAGGACCCCAAAGCCCATTGCTGTGGCCTGAATGTTTATGCCCCCCTCGAATTTATATGTTAAAATCCTAACTGTCAATGTGATGATATTAGGAGGTGGGGTCTTTCGGAGGTGATGGGGTCATGAAGGTAGAATTTTCACAAATGGGACTAGTGACCTTATAAAAGAGATCCCAGAGAGCTCTGTCATCCCTTCCACCATGTGAGGTCACAGCAAGAAGTCCCCGTCTATGAACCGTCTATGATGTGGGCCCTCACCAGGCGCTGAATCTGCTGACCTCTTGATCTTGAACTTGCCAGCCCCCAGAACTGTGAGAAATAAATTTCTGATGTCTATAATCTACCCAGTTCATGGCATTTTGTTACAGCAGCCCAGATGGACTAAGACATCCAAATTCTTTCTCTAATCCTTTGCTGACCCCAAGAAGTTTCACTGAGATGGGGTTTGGAAGGTGGCTAAGATAATTCAATTTACTGATTTTAAAGGCATATGTCATTTTTTAAAATAACAAAATCTCAATAAGATGGAGAAAAATCAAGTGGCAATTGAAGCTCTTCTGAGCTATTTTGGCTGTGGTATTTTCTGAATGTATTTAACATGAATGAATTTGTCTTCTTTTGCAAGGAAGAATACAAAGTTCTATACCAGAGTCGATTGTTGATGGCACATACTTTTAGACGATGCTCACTGGCACTTATTTTTATAACCATGTGGCTGTTGATTAAAGCAAAAATAGGTAAGATATTTCTGTAAGTCACTCCGTGGAAGAATTTGTGGTTTAAATTCTCAGTTACAGATGAAGTATGTATTTATGGTAAATGTTCTGGTAGTTGGTCTTTTGTAGTCAATCTCTGTCATTTAAGTGGATAAGTCTGGTTCTGTCTATAGTAGTTATTTAATTTAATTTCTACTAATGATTAATATAAGTTCTTCCTAAGAAAGTGGCTTGGTAACCCAGTTAGGCATCACAAATACATTTTTACATTTCAGCACATTTTTCTTTTTTTTTTTTTTTTTCTTCTTTTTATTATACTTTAAGTTCTGGGGTACATGTGCAGAATGTGCAGGTTTGTTACATAGGTATACACGTGCCATGGTGGTTTGCTGCACCCATCAATCCGTCACCTACATTAGGTATTTCTCCTAATGCCATCCCTCCACCAGCCCCTACCCCCTGACAGGCCCTGGCTTGTGATGCCCACCCCCAACCCCGTGTCCTTGTGTTCTCCTTGTTCAACTCCCACTTAAGAGTGAGAACATGCGGTGTTTGGTTTTCTGTTCTTGTGCTGGTTTGTTTAGTACTTTTTTTTTCCTGCCTCCCACCCTCCACAAGTTTTTTTTTTTTTTTCTGAGACAGGGTCTGGCTCTGTTGCCCAGGCTGGAGTGCAGTAGCACAATGTTTGCAATGCTTTTTAAATACTCTTTTAAAACTGTCTTTTTTTTCTTGGTACAAGTATTTAAACAAAAATTATAAATCATAAATGGTGATGGAAACAAATGTGTTTTTTTCTGGGAAGGCTTTAGTAGTCTGGTAAATAATTTGCATATGAGAGAGGCTGGTTTTTCCCAAAACTGTGTTCCTGAATGTTCTTCCAATCCTGCTTTCTAACCACTTTCCTGGTTATAGTTCTGATTATAGTATTACTGTTATGAGAAGGATGCATATTTTCATTCAAATACAGTTAGACTTCAATATGTTTACCTTCTGTTCTCATTGTACATCACTATTATAACCAGAGACATGTAGGTTAACTATATTTGCATGATCTGATGGGGTTAATTTCACCCTGTTTTGGGGAATTACATAAACTCTTCATTTTGAAATGGGTTTATTATCACCAGCTAAATATTGCATTTGTATCTTATTGCAGATGAGTGCAAGAGAGGCGATGTGACTGTGAAGCCTTCCCGTGTAATTTTACTTGGATCCACTGTCAATATTTCATGTTCTTTGAAGCCCAGACAAGGCTGCTCGCCCTATTCCAGACGTAACAAGTTAATCCTGTACAAGTTTGACAGAAGAATCAATTTTCACCATGGCCACTCCCTCAATGCTCAAGTCACAGGTCTTCCCCTCGGTACAACCTTGTTCGTCTGCAAACTGGCCTGTATCAATAGTGATGAAATTCAAATATGTGGAGCAGAGATCCTAGTTGGTGGTGAGCATTCCATTTTGAATTTTTAAAACTCGGTGATCTTTTGGTATTTTTGATCTTTTGGTATTTGATGTTAAGCAGAAACCCAAATACAGGTCAATGTTCTTTCTTTTCCCACCACATTGAAGTATTTTATTTTGATACTGACATGAAAGCTTCAGTGTGAGTTCAGAAATTGGAATCTTATTTGGCAAGTCTCTCTCTCTCTCTCTCTCTCTCTGTCTCTCTCTCTCTCTCTCTCTCTGTCTCTCTCTCTCCATCAGAACCATTTATCTGTTGTCCTTAACTCCAGTGGCAGAAAAAATGGATCTCTGCAGTTGGGTCTTTATGCCTTTTTGACTTACGAGAATATGTTTAAAGCTACAGCCTCCTAAAAAGAAAGAAGAGATGTCTTTTTAAACTTATGCAGCCCAGGATGACTACACAGAGTTGAGCAGCACCTCTTGCCCTACCTAACTTAATGCCTCCCAAAATAGTTCTTCCATCCATGCTCACCTAGACCACTGGTTCTCATACTTAGCAGAATGTAAAATAAAACATTGATCACACTTACTATCTTTTCCTCAGTTCTCTAGAAAACTGACTCCAGCGAAATAAAAAGAAAAGTAAAGAAAAAACCTGACCTGCTAACAATTCATGAGAAGGGGGTGTGGGGCAGAGGAGTTACACAGCCCCAGGGAGGCAAGAGGGAAGGAGTGAGCCAGGAAAGGGAGAAAGGCAAATACCAGGTAGTAACATTACTGAACCGGCCACAGCTTCAACAGAAAATACAGCTGGTTGTTTATACTCTTCGGAACATTCCCAGAAAGAGCATATAGAAATCTCATGACAAGGGAAAGAAAGAAGAACTTAACTTTGTCCCACTGGCCGAAGTCCACCTGACAGGGGATCAGTTTCCCACACTGCTGGCTTGCATTGCTGGTCCCTTCAGGCAGCTGCTGGGGGATTAGAACTAACCTGTCAGAGTTGGCACCTGCAGCATGAGCCACAGGGCACAGGATGAACCAGCAGCCAGCAGCACACCTACCTGCAGTTCGCAACCTGTGGCCCACAGCCTTGCAGGTCCAACCAGGCAAGCCCGTGAGCAAGCATGGGCCCTGAGGGATTCCATGGCACCCTGTGCCTCAGTGGTTCCAAGGAAGCTTTGGGGTGGCAGACAAGAGGCACGAAGAGACTAGGAAGAATTGCTCTAGCAGGCTGGCTGACCAAGTCTCATAGACGTGGTCTCTGTCATAAAGGTAGTGATATAGAGCTCAATGAGACTCTGTCCAGGAAAGATGGAAACCTCTTCTCTGTGACCATTAAGGATATATAGATGTACAGTTGGTACCAGGCAGTTTTCCTGGAGGGCCCCCAGAAGCATTGAGCCGAAGACCAAGCAAATGACCAAGCAGATCATTGGTAGGAAGGCGGTATAAACTAGGCCAAATACTCACCTTCCAGCTCAGGGCCTCCTGTTCATGCCACTGTGAGTCATGTACTCAGCATTGACAGCCTGTGGTATAGTAGAAGTAGCATGGGCTTTGAATCTCAGCTCTGCCAGTAGCAGTGTACTTTACACAACTTAAATTATCTGAGCCTCAGTTTCTCCATCTGTGTTATGAAGATAATAACATCTACCTCATAAAATGGTCGTAGTAATTAGAAGACCTCTTATATGCAAAGTGCTTAATCCCATGCAAGGCCCATGGGAGGCATTTAGGTGATGGCTTTAGGCTTCTCAACAGCAACCTGGAATGTGGAAGGCAACAGAGTCCTGACTATAGACTCTTTTCAACTTAGAATTCTATCCTCAAAGTGTCAGTCAAATGTGAGGGTAGAATAAAGACGTTTTAAACTATGCTCAAGATATTTCCTCCCATGCACCCTTTCCCAGGGAACTAATGAAGGCTATGCTCCACCAACCCAAGTCATTCGACAAGAAAGAAGAAAACATTAAATCTAAGAAACAAGAGAGCCAAAGGAAAAAAAGAAGGAACTTAGGAGACACTAAGGATGAGCAGTCCCAGAATGACAGCTAGGTACCAGGCATGGAGGCAACCTGTCTTATATTGGAAAATCCACAAGGCTCCAAGAGAAAAGTCCTTAAGCAGATGAAATGGATAGAAGTGCCAATACATTGCAGTATATTGAACAGTGATTGAAATAATTGACTTGCAAGTTTGAAATTTTATTAACAAGAAAACTAAACAAATGGAAAAACAAGATAATTACTAATTCTAAGATTAAAAGTTATACAGAAAATGAAAAGTTAATATAGTATTCTATATGACTCAGTCATGACTAGTGTGTGTATATGCATAAGTATACACTGTATAAATACATATAAACATATCTAAATGTATATATGTACATGGGTACATATGTATACAAGGAAGAGATTTTCGTTTTTTTGTTTTTGTTTTTTTTTTTTGAGATGGAGTCTCGCGCTCTCGCCCAAGCTGGAGTGCAGTGGCACGATCTCTTCTCACTGCAACCTCTGCCACCTGGGCTCAAGCAATACTTCTACCTCAGTCTCCCAAGTAGCTGGGATTATAGGCATGCACCACCATGCCCAGCTAATTTTTATATTTTATTAGAGAGGGGGGTTTCACCATGTTGGCCAGACTGGTCTCCAATTCCTAATCTCAGTGATCCTCCCCTCTCAGCCTCCCAAGTTGCTGGGATTATAGACATGCATCATCATGTCTGGCTAATTTTTGTACTTTTAGTAGAGACAGGGTTTCATCATGTTACCCAGGCTCAAACTCCTGGTCTCAAGCTGTCTGCCCACCTCGGCCTCCCAAAGTGCTGGAATTACAGGCATGAGCCACTGTGCCTGGCCCAGGACTCTAACTTTTAAATATGAACTTATAAGTTAAAATGACTCTCAGACCACCTGTGTGGAGTCCCTGAGAAAAAAGTAAACTCCACTTTTTTTGGAGTGCAGTGGCGCAATCTCAGCTCTGCACAACCTCTACCTTTTGAGTTCAAGTGATTCTCATGCCTCAGCCTCCTCAGTAGCTGGAATTACAGCATCTGCCACCATGCCCAGCTAATTTTTGTATTTTAAGTAAAGAAGGGGTTGCACCATGTTGGCCAAGCTGGTCTCAAACTCCTAACCTCAAGTGATCTGTCCACCTCAGCCTCCCAAAGTCTTGGGATTACAGGCGTGAGCCACTGCATTCAGTGAGAAGAGACTTTTTTAAAGGAAAAGTTTATTATTCTATTGAAACTATATAAGCTAGATATCATTATACCCATTTTATAGATTCAACTGAAGCTCTGACTTGTCCAAGGTCACACAGTGGGCATTCCTGTGCCTATGTCTGTGGTGGATGCTAAGGACAAAAAAGACATTTATTTAATCAATTACAGATTTTTTTAGTGTAGACAATAGCTAGGACTTCTGTAGTATGCTCATTTTATCTAACCTAAAGGAAATATGTATCTACACGTGGGTCTGGGTATTAGGGTAAAATGGGATTCCTGAATATCTAAGTATTTCTCTGACCTCCATTTTGTCCAAGAAATTCCTAGTTTGGGTCCTGTCTTTCACTATAAAATAGCTTTATTTAAAAATACACGCCTTACAATAGAAGGGACCATGCTTGCTTTGTACATCTTTGTGTTTCCACAGCTAGCACTGTGCTTGGCTTGTGGGAGGTACTCAATGTCTACATACATAAAAGAATTAATTTATAAATGCCTATAAAGTGCTCCAAGGGACACTGCAGAAATTAGATTTAGATGGTATAGCCCAGGAAGACATGAGTGAGGCGAGTGGGTATACGTTTCTTGACAGCAAATGTCTGGTGAAGAAAGCAAGTAAGCTCTCTCCATTTTTAAAGTTTCTAATATTGAATTGGGATGATCACTGCCCAAAGGAAGTTAATGCATATTATTTCCCCAGGTGGTAATGGAGCTAGCACTGATTGTGTCGCATCCGTGCTCAGGGAAACAATGGGGGTAGAGATATGGAGAAAAAGGCCTTGCAGTTTGGGACTTCGCACGGTTACACAGCTTGAGCTGGAGCCTTGTAATCTGCCCACTTCATAATTTTTCTACATTGGGTCCAGATATTTCCCACCTCTCCCTCTCATATCAACATAAAAGATAATAAATGGGTCATTCTAGCACCCTCATGGAGCTGGCTATCTGGTCTAATTCAGAAAAACTGGCACAAATAGCACTGACTAGCATATAGTAAGTTATTTGAATCCATATTTACTAGTATTATTAACTGTTTCTAGGAGAAATTTTTTGCCTTTTGGCAAACTGGACTTGATCGAAATCTTGAAAATGGCTTTCGAGTTTACCTGTTTACGGCCATGTGGGGGACATCGTGGGTCCATGTTGGGTTGGCAGATAATAACAATTGGTTTGAAAATATCACCCTGTGGTGAATATATAAGGGTTTTGTTGTCTTTCCTTTTTTAAAGTTGCGCCCAGGTGGCCGCGAAAAACAGCCCTCAAAGATGCTATCCTTTGCATAGCAGAAAGGGAAGAACAAGGGGAACTGTGCCGCCACCTGGGAAAAGAGGACCCAAGTACACCCACCTATAACCACTGAGTTACTTGACTTGCTACACGGATGTTTCCGACAAAGTTGAAGTAGGTGTACAGCAACCTGAGTCCCTTGGGCCGAGAGAGCAAGTCTGTTTCTTCCGTAGATCTTTCCTCTAAATGAACATTAGAGAATATATATCATTTTTATTATTTATTTATCGACGAGTCCTCACTCTGTTGCACAAATCCCCCAGCTAACCAGTGCAGTGGCACAAATCTCAGCTCACTGCAACCTCCGTCTCCGGGACAGGTCTAAGTGATTCTCTGCTGCTCTCGCCCGATCAGCGATTATTCTCCGACGTATCTGGGATTACGGGGTACATGTTTCCAGCGCACAC